TGCAGCAATAATGATAGATGTGTATAAGAGACAGATATATATGTATGTATGTATTCATTATATCCACTATATTGTATCTAAGGTTGCGTCTTGTAAGGTGCTACTGAGCCATTTATTTTAACCCAAATAAAACCTGATCAGAACAATAAATTACTTAATCAAATGAACAAACAACAAATGAATGAGTGAATAAATGAACGAATGAATAAACATATCCCCTAACAATGCAGGTATGCTTACACTCCATGAAAATATAATCTGATTACATAGTAACAAATCAAGAGCTTAGCCATACGTACCGTAACAAGGGTAAACGACACGAATAATATTTATTTTATTATCATTGTACACTTTTTCGTTATTGTATATCATTAATCTCTGGACGCTCTCATAATTTTTTCATTTTTACATTTTATAGAGAAGTTTATTGAACGTGTTTGAATAGTATCGTTGAATTGTGTATTGGACTTTGTAATTGAACCTTTTTACAGTAGTTTAGTGTTGTGATGAAATGTTTTTTTTTTTAATGTTCAATTATTTTTTTTAATATTTTTAAATTGTACTTATTGTAATAATAATGATTATAATAATAATATTAATAATAAAATAATTATAATAATATTAATAATTTATATGATTTTATATTTGTATGGTTTTTTTTATTGTAATTAATCATCTCAATTAATTTTACTACTATGATTATTATGATGATTGAATAAAATATATCAGAATATACCAGAATATAAACAATATGGAGGAAATCACGTGTAGCGATATTACTGAACATTCTTCCGCACTTCATATTGATGTTTTTTTCATCAACGTTACCTGCATAATATATAAAAGACCAACATAAAAAGCTCTTGTTTTAAGGAGACCTACTCGATAGAAGACTTTTGCTAATAATTTGAACGTGCATAAATTGAGAAACAATAGCTATCAAAACAAGGACAAAAATTTGAACATGAATAAGTTAGCATCTAACAGATTCTCGCCAATTACAGGAAGTGCAGTGGCATAGGCCTATCTAGGGGTGCCCGGGGAGGATGGGGGGGGGAGCACGACCCTCCAAAAATTACTTATTTTGCGAATTACCATCCTCAACCGATCATCGAACCCCCCCCCCCCACTTCACCTTCGCGCCCTCCATCAACGGCCCATTTCAAGACTTCTAGGTATGCCACTGAGGAAGTGATCATCATACCAAGTCTGTTTACGAGGCTTATAATTTTTATAGTGAGTGTGGAGTTGTTTTTTCTTGTTTAAAAATCCTGCTGTAACGGTTAATATGAATGGAGGTGAATAAACTTGGTGGTTAGGATGCTTGCTTTCCAATCCCAGAGTCCGACCTGGGTTCAATTTCTGTCACAGTAACATGATGTTTTTTCTCACGACCAAAACAACTCCACTCCCAAGCCTAAAGCTAAAAAATAATAAAAAAAACAAACAAAAAATCTTGTGTTGGCCACGTTTTTGGAAAAAAAAATGGGTAGGTCGGTAATACTCGTACGCCCGTCGTTTCTTCCCACTAGCCCTAGGCGAATTCGCCCCAAAAGCCATTTTTTGTTACACGCATGGGCAGCACGATGTTCTTTACTGCGCATGCAGCAATAATGATTTGCACCAGGGAACAACAGTGTAATTTCACGGTTCCCTGATTTGCACTATTGGGTGTGCATAAAACTTTTTGTGCCAGTAAGCTGCGACATTAAAATGTGCAATAAACACTAGAAACGTTATCACGCTCTTATTATTCTTAAACTTTGACGAAAAACTGTTATTGAGATAAAATGCGCTTAATGAGATATAGATTTTTGAATAGTTAAAAACTTGGGAAAATATGGAAAAAGAGGTAGATAGTTGGAATTATCAAATTTCCTTGACGTTTGCCTCAAATTCTGTCCGAGCAAAAAAAAAAATCCTTAAACAGCATTCTTCCCTACAGTACAGAACATAGCATAGCATAGAGTACGGGGGAAATGTATAGTCGAAGCAACAGTCTAATGTGAATTAATGGGTTTTAAATGTTATCATGATTTTAAAAATACATCATTATTATTTTTTAATTACTTTCATAATTCTGTGTAATCCTTTCAATAATACCAATAACGCATGCAAAAGTAATAATTAGAAAAAGAGTACAAACAATTTTTTGTTCTTCTCTTGATAATACACGTTTTAAACTTTATTTAATAATTTGTTTTATTTAATATAATAAAAAGAAACAATGAGTAACAAGAAATGAAGTTACAGACGAACAAAGTATTAGGCTATCTTAATTGCATTATATTACGCTTATTTTGTCAAATCACTATACAAGATTAAGAACTCAGTTGTGCCAAAAAAGACATTAAAATACATCACAAACGCTACAAAAACTGGAGCCGCTGGGGGATTCGCCACCACGTCCCCACCGGTGGTCGTTTGCAGCCCATAGCGCTTGGCTCGGCGGCCCCTTCGTTACGCCACTGATCCTTTGTAGTTTCGCATTTACAATTTTCGCACCCCCACCATCCCCAGAAGGGAACCGTCATACGTCCATGAGCGTAAATCACTGTTCTATTAAATAGGATATTAGGTATATTAGATAGGTAGCAATCCCTTCACATGACAAACATGAACACATATGATGCTTTACAAAGACCAAGTCTCTGAGAGATTTGGGGAGTGGAGTTGTTTTTGGTCATGAGAAAAATCCTGTTACAATGACAGATGTGAACACAGGACCCTGGGATTGGAAAGCAAGAATCTTTACCACCAAGACTCCACTCCGATTCATTTTTGGATGCAAAGTAATTATTCTGTCGAATTCCATAACAGATAGAGATTGCCTCGTTGATATATCATCATCATCATCATTATCATTATCCTCGTTACATCATCATTAATTATTCTTGTTGTATCATTATCATCATCTGCTTTGGAATTCGTTACCAAAAGACACACAAAAAGTTGCCCTTCACTTAATAATTTCAAATATAAAGTCAAGAATAGGCCTGTGTAAAGCAAAAAGTACTTATATTTAGAGAGCTTTCGATTTGTTCGACGACGCGATGCTAGAACGGAATCACTCATACCATGGATGAATTGGTGTTGTACATTTAGTCAAATTACGTTCTAGAATCCACCCGACGAGGTGATCTTAACGTTGTCGCATGCGCAAAAGACTTTAGTGACGTTCGACGTCCTACCGTCATTGTGCAATCGAAAGAATCAGCTACAAATTCTTTTTCTTTTCGCTGTGTTATTTCCTGTTCTCTCTTCGCGTTTTCTTTATTCTCTTGTTGTTATTCTCTTAAATATTTTTGATGTTAATGACTTCCAATTTTTCATGAATTTTAAATTTTTGCCGCATAATTCCTTTTCTTGTTTTTTTAAATATTCTGTCAAATTTTTGTAAATTGTATTTGTTCATCAGAGATGCAAATAAATCATATCATCTTCATCATCATACC